TCTTCTCAAATAATATATAGGGTGGCTTCGATTTTGCATACGGCTGTAGGTCTTTAGACAAAAAAAGGAACATGAAATTGTGTTAATAAAGTGTTTGCCGCATATGATGAGAACCCCCTACACCGCAAGGTACTTCTTATTTGTTGCGCTTATGGTTCTTGAAGTATCTTTTTATAAAACAACTTTACGGCCATGAGAATCGAGGCCGCCTATCCATTTGGTTTAAAGGTTACTATGAACTATTGTTTTATGTAGAAATTATCCATTGCAACGATCACATACCCGTTAGTATTGCCGGCTCTTGGACTATCAAGAAAGATTTTTTATATATCATATTGATACCCACCAGTGGCGTTCATACGGAATTTGACTTTTTTGGGAGACATTGATGATACTATCACTTGATTTTTTACAATGCGATGCACACTTTTCTCTTAAAAAAATAAAATTAATTCCTCTGCCATGGTGTCAAAGATTTTTTTTTTATGATTAAGATTGTTGGATGATGATGGCACATATCTGGAATTACCTAACAATCCCACAAACCTTTTCGAAAATAAGTCTAATAAATTATTCAAAAAGTTAGTATCATGTAATGAACTTGACAAAGATTCAGTGAAAAAGTTCATAAGCCATAATTCTATTCCACCAAAAATTTATGGACTCCCAAAATCCACAAGCCAAACACACCCCTAAGACCTGTTGTCTCTTGTGTATGTGTAATGTCACCCACCTACAACATCTCCAGTTTCGTAGCCAAAATTTTGAATAACTTGATTCCAACGTTTGAATATGTGGTGAATAACTCCTTCAAGTTTGTGGAAAAACTTAGAACTCATACAATTCCAGCTGGATACATTCTTGTTACTCTTGATGTCACCTCATTGTTCACAAATATTCCCAAAGATTTAGTATTAAATCTGATAGAGAAATATTGGGAAAATATTGAGGCATTCACTGCTATGGAACTTGCGGTTTTTGTTGAATTGGTCGCTTTCATATTCGAGTCAAGTTATTTCTCCTACAACAACAAATTTTTCAAACAGATGTTTGGTGGTAAAAAATAAGTTGAAAAATCAAAAGAAAAACTCAATTCTAACGAAGTAGAATTATTTATCCGGTTTTGGATGTTTCTACGTGATTTTGAATAAGCCAAAATCTACCAAAGATCATATTTATTATTATTAACTGAAATCCCATGATTGATGGCTTCCTATTGTTTTAAAAAATACTTTCTCTACGCAAAATCATTGCTTGACCCTCACCTTGAGTTATAACACAAGCATCCATTCGGTTTATTGGAACTAATTACCAATTCAAATAGAAATTCAAGATTAACTGTAAAAAAAATTTTTGAAAATGCATTTTTATTTTATGTTTATACAGTATTATTAAAATTACATACAAAAGATAATCTTTAAAAAGTAACATTAAATGATTGTAATCGGCACATCTACTATGGAAAAAAAATCAAATTTCTTGGCACGCAATTTATCCATTTTCCATGTCCATTTGAGCGTAAATATCTGGAAAAATTCGCATCAAAAGTAAGTAGCAAATCCAATAAAGTAACCCCTTATTCTGACAAGAAAAAAAAAACATTAAAGCAAACCCTGTCTAGAAACTTTTTGGCCAATATGTCAATACTTTGTCGCAGCAGTAAACACCATAAATTCTATATATTTTTTTCCTACATAAAAGAAAAACTGTTTTCCAAAAATACATTTTCTATACGTGGTTAGAGTAATAGGTAGGTATATGGGAGCGTGTCTAGAGTACACAAATCTATTCTTGGGTTTATTGAACTTCCTTTTGGTTAACAATAACTTATATGAATTATGTGAATATAATAAACCACAGTGTCAAACTAATTGAGAAAATTGATCGACTGTCTAAAACTTTAAATGGAATTCAGTAACCCTCACTTAAAATTAACAAGACAACACAATAATTCTGCAGGCTAATGTTTAGTGAAAGTGTGTGCATCAGTCTACCGGAATTATCATGAATTAGTAATTATGGCTGTTCATTAACAATTTTAAGAGGAAGACTTTGGGAGCAGGTAGAAGAGAAGAGGATTTTCTATATAATCGGTTAACATAGTAATTAGGAAATAATTACTTTTTGAAGAAGGAATTAGGGAAAGTAAAAGATATATTAAGGAAGGTAGAGGATTTTAAGAAAAATTCATTTGTTGTTTTTATCCCAGACGATTCAAAAAGAACAAGAGAATAGCTTATAGAAAAGAGAGTTTTTGAGCACAAATAATTACGGTAGCTCATGGTAAATTATTCTTCTAATGAGATACAAATTGAGCCTATGAATCCAGCATTCTATTTTCTTAATTTTTGTAGAGCATAAGGTCCTCTATTGGCGAATCTGAAAACAATTTCTGTCAAAATCCTTATCGGAAAAAATCACATTTATATTATCCCGAAATGATAAACGTCAAAAAGTTTTCCTATCCGCACTTAATAAATAACTTCATATATCGCCACTTGGGAAATATCATTAAGAACTTTGCAATATCTCGAATGGGTTGCTGTTTCCAAGTTTAAAATTGATCATCGAAAACTTTTTGATGCTTCAGCAAGTTTGTGTCTTAATCAATAATTTATTTGTCCGTTGTCTCTCATTATATTAAAATTTCAAAATTTCAAATTCTTCAATTTTCATTCGTGTTGAAAAATAAACACTCCATTTTTAACGTTCTGATTTTGAGCCCGCACTCGCAATTTTCCTTCGTAAATTGTTTCTTACTTTGTCCATTTTGTTCAGGTTTAAATAATACGTACCCTGAAAACGTCTTCATTAATAACGCAAGTTGGAGTGAGCCGGATTTTTTACTTAACTGAGGTATTTTTTGTTTTCTAAGACTATAACGGCCATTTGCACCGGTATAACTTAAGGGACATCTAATCCAAGTGGAGCTTTGAATGTGACTCTCGTAGAAACAAAAATCACATTCAAAAGCTCCACTTAAATTAAATATCTCTTAATATCCCTTAAGTGATAGCGGTGCAAATGGCCATAATAGCTGAAAAGGTGAGTACCTAGCTAATTGCAGAATTGTCGTTACCCCGTTACAACATTGGCCGACTCAAATTGGTTTTATACTTTGGATTTGAAAAACGGATACTGTCATTGACTAAAAAGACAAACAGAAGACAGCGTTCTCCACTGGAAGTGAAGTGGTCTTTACCAATTTAAAGTAATGCCTTTTGGACTCTGTAACGCCCCCGCTACTTTTGAGAAGTTGATGGAAAACGTACTACGCAGACCGCAGACTTACGTGGAAAGTATGTGTTATTGTCTACCTGGATGATGTATTAGTGATGTGAAACTTACAAGAAGTATTTACTCGTACGTAAGGCAAATTTCCGATTAAATGACAAGAAATGTTTACTCTTTCAACAGGGCGTTGATTTTCTTGGCCACGTAGTTTCACCCAAAGGAATTCGTATTGAAGAGAGAAAAATCCATGAATGGCCTCGACCTCATCGGGACAAGTATGAACTCAGAAGTTTACTTGGACTTTGTACAAGGTATTTGATTATATTTGGACCCGTACCTACAGCCTCTATAGAAAAAAATTTTAAATACAGCTTTTTTCTATATTTTCTTCTAACTTTTTAAGAAAAAATAAAATCGCGTCGGAAAATAGAGAAACGTAGACAACTTCGACTTTTTTTAACGGAACACCCTGTATATTTTACGATAAAATGAAAGATCTTTTTTTCCTGATTGCAAATATACCATTTAATACTCCGGTGTTTGATTGCGACTACGTCGTCGTTGAGCGGATAAAAAATTTAATAGGTGGGATGTTAATGAGGTTATAGGGGCTACATTTCAAAGTTAGTTAAGCTTATACAGGGTGTCCCAAAAAAGCATGGCACATAATTTGATTTTTTTTCATATGGAATGTCATATATTTTTTCACCGAAATTGGAGCCTCATTGGACTCTCTTTTCAGCCCCAAATATTTGTTGCCCTCAAATGCGACGTTGCCAAGTTATTAATATTATTTAGAGAAATTTTTACCGAAATCAGTATACCACTTAAATTTTAATGTCTACACCACCATTTTTTATTTTTTTGTAAAAATATATGGAAGTACTTAGCTAGGATCATTTTATCTCGCAATAGTCTAAGATTTGGGTTTTTTTTTATAGAGGGTGGTCAAAATCGTTATTCAAATATCTCTTTTTGACCATCTGTCTCTATAACTGACTCTTTCTGAATAACTCTCTTTTACTGATCTGCTCATTATGAGCGGCTTTATTGTCTGAATGGGAAAAAATATTGAACGTGAAACTAGGCTAGTCCGTGCGATCATGAGAAAAGACTTCTTCCATATCTATTCAAGTACTGTAGTCAGAACGATTGACTATCTCCACAAGTACCTGTATGGACAAGAATTTTTGATTAGAACAAACCATGCATTGCTTAAATAGCTCCTAAATATGGAACAACCAGAAGGACAGGGAGCAAGATGGCTGGAGAAGTTACAACAGTACAATTAATTAAGTCTTTGAAGTCTTCAAACCCTTCAGTACTTTGTCAGCTTCAGAGTTTTTGGTCTCCAATTATTCCAAAGAAGTCTCGAAGCATAAATTTTGAAATTTTTATTATTTTATCTTGAAAATCTCCTTATTTTAGTTATACTTTAGAATTCATAGAATTTTTAGTCTTGAATCATAATTAATCATAAATCCCTCTAGTCCTAAGCCTTTAGACTAGTTCAGACACTAAATTTTTTGAGTTCTTCGGCGTTTTTGAAGGCTTTAGAACCGATAGAGTCTTAATGAGAATCGTTCTGATGATTCGCTTAGTGCAAAATCCAACTTTAATTTTACCAAAACGTTTGACGTACAATCCACATCGTTAAGTCCTATCCACATTGTAGCCAAACCAAATCTCCCCACTCCGTTCTTCGTTAAATTATCTATCGTAAGTCTAAAGAGACTGAAAAGCTCCTTCTTGAACCAATATTCCTCCGGCAGCAGTCGAAGTGACGTCGTCCAATGGTGGTGTTTACTTAAGGTCTTAGTCAAATATATAAGCTGAAAGCGAGGTTGTTCAGGTCCTGTCATTTCGCGTACGGCAAGAAGGTGTGAAGTAGTGTGCTTCTTTTTTTTTACTTTAGTTCTCTTAGTGACGATGGCGCGGTTACAGCACGCGCTGCTCTTGCTGTGTTTCATATGGACTTTTACCGGTAAGTCTTCGATGGTACCACTGGGGCGGCCATTTTGCCAAAAAATAAAGTCAGTTTTCGACTTGATTACTTTCTAAAATATTTATAGGTATTTAATAGGTTTTGTGTGTCAGATTATTTCTACATACCGGTTGAATTTGCTTAATCGATTTTATTGGAAATATGCTTTCGCTTTTATTACTGGGTGTACTTGAATATTATGGCAATAAACGTTTATGTAAGATATGTCTAGATACATATACAGGATGATGACAATTTCAAATTGTTCAATTTCTGATCATTGATTTTAATCAAGATACAGGATAGAAGAAAGCATTATATTGTTCCTTTTTTTATGATTTTCAATATTATTTTCCCATTTAATAAGGATTAAGAGCATTATATTGTATAACCTTTCAATTTTCAATTTACCAGATTTGTTTCTCTCTTTTTTTTTACTTTATTTTGTTTTCGTCAATGTTTCATTTATTCTAGATTTCTATATTACTTCTCTTGTCCTTCAACACCTCATTATTTTTTTGTTTTGTCTACGTATTTGGTATGTGCTTTCCGAAAAGTTAAGTTCAAATCTGAAGCTTCTTTAAATGTCTTATCACTAATTTATTTTTGTTATAGATCACCATTAGGCCATATTAAATTGAAATTTTTCCATCGCATTTCTCACACTACATTAGTTCAAAAACACGTAACCGAACAATTAACGTGCGGAAAAAGAAATCGAAAACCTCTATTTTACGGTTGTGTAACATTAAAGAATATCTTTTAAAATAAAATTACTATCAATTAATATTAGCCAATTAATTTGTTGCATATATATCATTTAGGTTGATCACATTGATACTGCATGCTGACCTGAATCTTGAAGAATGAAACCAAAAGTAGCTTTTATATGTATAAGTTTTTTTCATAATAGATAATTCCTCAATTAATCTCCAGCTTTCTGTTGCATCAAAAAATAGTGAAAGTAAATCTCTAAGCACACATGTATAATTTCCCGATTACATCTTAAATTGACCTTTACAGCTCGTGATCATCTTCAAGCATTTGCAATATTATATTCATATCCTTGACATTAAATTGCTTTGCAGAAATTATATAATTTGTCTAGCGCAACTTTTGGCTTACGCCTTAAAAAAAAAATTAGAAAAAAAAACTTCACCTGAGGCTATTTGTAGTAGTACTACTACTACTGTCCTGGTGACATTTCAAATTTAAATACTTTCATGGCATTTTGCAAATTAATTATAAATCAATTAATATTCATGAGGATATTAAATTATTTTCTTATAATCTCTAGTTTTTCATCGATAATAATTATTAATAATGAAGCAAACCTTTTTCCAAATAGGATGCTTTCAAGCCTTTCAAACGGTACCAATTATTAGTACTTAGGTACATATAAAAAGAATTATATATATTATTCAGAAGGTTGGTCTTTGCGTATTAATGCTAATGCGACTTAAGTATTCAAGAATTTAGGGTGCGGATTAGAATTTATTGTTAATTGCCTTTATGACTCGATTAAATTATAATTTACATTGAGTTACTGAATCGTCAAAGATAGGAAGACATTGCCTGAAGAATGCTATTTTACATAAATACAACAAAGGATTTCTTAAAACACATGCATTATGCAGTTGCAATATCCGTAGGCGTACTTGAATTTTTCTATAGTCTATTATGTTAAATACTAATTAACGCAAAAAAAACAATTATTTATTCAGTTTTTGGCTCCTCGAGCATGTGATTTCGTGAAAGTTGATTGCCTTGTTTCAATTTTCACTCAGATTAGTTATCAATGGTACCTACCTACTCCTCTGCATGTTTAAGATTTTCGAATAAAATTTCGATCGATTACGGCAAAAGTATGCGACCATTATGCAAGACCTATAATCATTGTGTCTATGTTAATTGCCTCTATGTAGAATTGTTTATTTATTATCTTTGGTTCAATTGCGAAGATGGAGAAAGTACAACAGATGTAAGGGATTTCCATATTATTGTAGATGCCACTAATAGTTCATGATTCTTTATATTATTGCTTGTTTGCATAATTTTTCGAATAAAATTGCGGCTCACAAATAGTAGGGTAAAAGCAATTTTGACTGAACTATTATACTCTTAGATTTCTGTTGCTTTCATCACTATTATGTTCTATTTCACAAAAAATCCATTTTGAGTCGATAACTTTTTCATTAGTTACAGATACACTGTTTTAAGTCAATGTTTGACTTTTGTTGAAGTTGTTAACTTCTTTGTGAATGGCTCCTTTTCATCTTGGAATCATTACTTATTCTTCTTCATCGTTGAAATCAAAGTCTTTGAATTTTTTTAAAATCTTTCACATTCTGGCCATCTCGTTGGCATGTGGTAATATAGTTCTGTTGTATTGATGGTTTGTATTTTAATTTTTTTTTCTGTTTTTTGGCCTTTTACATGTTCGGAATTCTATTTGTTCTTCAATATTTGTTAGATTCCTTCTTCGTTCCAGGGATTAAATAGTATTCTCATTGTTTTTAGTTTTATTTTGGTCTTCTTCTACAGACATATTGTGAACTTGTATGTTGTAACATTTCTTCTTGATAATTCTCCTGTTAATTCGTGTTTGCTGTTTTTATTTTCCTCATTATTGTTCTTTGTGTCTTTTTCTATTTCAGTTGATGTTATACATCAGTGTCCCCCATAATGTTCGCTATATGAGATATTGAAACACGAAAAGTGGGGTTAGATTGCAAAACTTCGGAAAAAGTTACTTGTTTTCCGCTATGAATCCCTTATCAAATAATATTGGGCGCGTTTGGGTTCACGCTCGGTGCACTCAGAGCTTGCACTTTTGTCTCTCTTCCGTTATTTTTGAAGCTCCGACAACGCTTGATTGTGTTTGGTTTGACATATTTTGAGCGCTCAGAGCGAGCTCGATAAACTCCGAGTTTGTGGAGTGGGCAGTTGGAGCGTGCGTGCGCAGATCAGATGTGTTCAATCTGCCTGTATAACCTAACCTATTTTCCATGATGAGATAAATAAACAATCCTGAATTTTAACATGTATTTGTTAGCTTTATAGTTTTAGCTATTTTGTTTAAATATTAACAATCCAATTGCTTGTAAAATTTGCGTAATTGTTTACTTTTAATTAAATTTTCTCGGTAGTCCAATCAACGGTATTATTGAACATATTTTTCCAAGGGAACTTGGAAGGTTCAGAGTGTTTAGGTCCGTTTTATTGTTTATGTAGCACGACATTTTAAGCAGAACACAAAAGAAAATGGGGATGTTTGAAAATTATCGACTAAAATAAAAAACAAACGAGAAAACTCTGGTGCAAATGCGGAATGCGGGCTCAGACTCCAAAAAATATATCCCAAAAAAAATAAACAATAATTAGCTGATCGCTCAGCCCAGCACTTCCACACGAGTTTATTTGGCTTGACACGGTGCACTCCCTGTGACGTCACGTCACTCCGTAATCGCTCTGGGCCGGTATTCTGGTTCTCAAAAACGCTCACCGCTTTCTAGTCGCTCGGCACTTTAAATGCAAATTTACATTGAAAGTGCCGAGCGACTAAAAAGCGGTGAGCGTTTTCGAGAACGAGAATACCGGCCCTGCTCGCTCCGCCGAGCGTCAACCCAAACGCGCCCATTATAAACTGGTGGACATTCCCATAAATCGTACTCTATTTTACTCCGAGCGGCATTTCGTGCGACATTCGGCAACTTGACGTTTCTAGGTTATTTCAATGCCGCTGAATCCGAATCCGGATGTTGCCAAGCCGAATTTTGCCTCCAAGGGCCTCAAATCCAAGAAGGCGGCCACTCTGAGGGCCTAAATGAGATTTTTCTTAAAGTGTATCGGTATTGACCGGCAAGATGTCGTTTCATATTTTTTTGGGGGTTGCTGAACTTGAATATGAGTACCGGAAGTCGATTCGGATACCGAAAGTACCATAATTCAAGATGGCGGCCGTCGGGGGCCTAAATACAGAACTTGCAGAAGTTAGTAGGGCGTATCTGCACATATGTTTTTGACGTCGACTAGATCAAAAATTAGCACCAGAAATCGATTAGGCAACTAAAAGTACCGTAATCCACGATGGCGACCGGTTGGGGCCCAAATGCCAAACTATAAAAAGTTGCTATAATATGACGTGCTGGGTATGACCACAAATGTTTTGGAGGCCGCTGAACACGAATTTGAGGTCGGAAAAGCGATAGGAAACATGTTAAAACAAGTTTGAAATAAAATAGTACAACTATAGGGGTAACTTTGGTAACTTTGAGGGGTAAACAAAATGCACAAAGCATTTTACATGAATACATCATCATTCGCAGTCTGCCTGACACTTGCACAACTTGGTGCAGACCTCTCCCTCCCGCCTGCACTTGCACAAGCCTGTGCCGCACACTGACTTGCAGCCATAACTCAGTAACTGCGTACAGGACTTGGGCACCGCTGGCAGGGTGGTGCAGACTGGAATGTAATTCTCCTCCAGACGCCATCCGTACCGGCAAGGATCAGGAAGGTCTAACCTTGCTATAATAATATGTGCATTCAGCCAGACCCCGGCTTGGTAGGTGGCTCGGAGAATGTGAAGACAGGCTGCATCAGACGTAGCTGGGAGCAATTCAGGACTTGAAACTTTTCCAAGAAGAATGTGTCTCGCTTTATCACAGGTATATTATATTCTCTTGTACAAAAGTACCATGAATTGCTCGCACTTTGACAAAAATCTCTCCTAAACTTCTGCAACTGCGAGTCCATCGAGAAGCTTGGAATGTGTACGATATACAACTAGAGCACCTGCTAACTCAGCTTTGTTCTCATCAAGCGCGTCATAGTTGGACCAATTCTTAGGAAGAGGCACTGTTCTTGACGTTAAAACCTTGCGAATTGGGCGTGAAGATGCCGTTCTCGTCAGTATAACACAGTTACCTGTCGTTTTGTTGCTTTCCAATGCTCATAATAAGCGCTTGTCCGTCAATTATGAGATGGTCGTTCCCTCCAGCAGGTAATTTGTTTGGAACGGTGCCTTCCTGAGTTCTGCTTTGCTGCCAGTACACACTGTGCCATTAGCATCCACAAGGGAGAGTGGAAAATTGTGAAGCTCATGTTGTAATATCTCCTTGAGGTCTACAGCTCTTCCTGCTTCATATGCCGTAATTGAGCGCTGGAGAATATTTCAGTCTTGCTTGTTGGTTTTTTTGACAGACTGGTCAACTTTGTACAAGTTGTGAAAGGTTGGGGCTGCATTTAACTTTACTCTTGCATAGAAGCTTTCACTTTTTTCTTGGCTAAGACGGTCCGTAGCAACATCTTTAGTCGCTACATTCTTTAGTGTTTTATCAGGTCCAAAATTAAACATGCCGAAAGCATCTATAGCTTGGACCAAGGAATCTTTATCAGACTAATCCCTCTTTTTACGTCCTGGGTACAATCCAGCCTGCAGATCAGTTGTCTTTTCTAAGTCAAACATTTGGTATGTCTTTCTTGAAATGGCGGCGTGTCTGGAGAGAAGACTGGTTTTGGACAAGACCAATCACTCCGGAAAAGGCCTTTTTCATCTCTCCGACTAAGCAATCTTGAGCTTGGTCTAGATCCATTTTGATTTGGGCCCCAACCGGTCGCCATCTTGAATTACGGCACTTCCGGTTGCCTAATCGATTTTTGGTGCTTTTTTTTGATCTAGTCGACGTCAAAAACATATGTGCCGATACGCCGCACTTGATAATATGCCAACTTCTGAAAGTTCTGTATGTAGGCCCCCGACGGCCGCCATCTTGAATTATGCTACTTCCGGTATCCGAATCGACTTCCGGTACTCATATTCATGTTCAGCGACCCCAAAAACATATGAAACGACATCTCGCCGGTCAATAACGATACACTTTAAGAAAAATGTCATTTAGGCCTTTAGTTTGGCCGCCATCTTGGATTTGATATATACTCTAGAAACGTCAAGTTGCCGAATGTCGCACGAAATGCCGCATGGAGTAAAATAGAGTACGATTTCTGGGAATGTCCACCAGTCTATTAAGGTACCTACTTGGTCTATGGTAGGTATACCATTTTCAAGCGATTTCTGTTTCGTTCTATCTTCTTCCTCATGTCTTTTCCCAATACTTGTGTCAATCCAATTATCTGTCCTATTTTTAGTTCTTCACGACCAATTGTAAGTTTTAAGTATTCTATATTAATATTTCCATTCCTTTTTTTTTCTCAGTTACTTACTTGTTTTATCATTTCAAGATTCTTTATTGTGGTTGATCCTAACTTATTTTTACTTTTCGTCATTTCTTTTTTCCCTGCACCGTCCAGTTGCACAAATTTGTTTCCATGTTTGCTGCTTCTTTTGGACTTTCATGCCTACTTATTGCCTTTCCTATGGAATAGGTCAATTGTTTTTGATGTTTCTTCAATATTTTTTCCAGGTTTTTTTAGTTTATTTTTCAATTTTCTCATTCTCCCTTCTGCTTTCTGGTATTATTTCTTTCAGTTCTTATTAGAATATATTTTGTTTATCTTGTTTTATTTCCTTAGTATTTTTATCCTTCTCCGAATCTTTATTATGCCATTTTTTCACAATATTTGCATTAAATTATTATTAATTATCTTCCTCTTTTTTCCACAGTAACGAAACAACAATCCAGTGAAGAACCACCAAAGAAAGAAGACAGCTTCGAGGCTGAACTATGCAAAGACAAAGATGCCGGCGAATGGTTTAGATTGGTAGCTGGTGAGGGCGATAACTGCCGTGACGTCATTCAATGTACCTCATCTGTAAGTATTTGAAATTGAAATTGAATGGAAACAATTTGCTATTACAAAATTCCTCAGATAAATATGCAAATTAACATTAACTTTCTACAAATTAATAACGCATTTAAAACATGCTTTGGCAAATTTATTTTACAGTTATTGTTGTTTGAGGAAATAAAATAAAACATTAATTTTATGCGTTTCTTGGCTTTATTGTTCAGTTGCCTCTGTAAAATTGTGTTAATTGTTTATTTAATTTTTCTTAAGGTGACAAAACTTCACCTGTGTTTCCCAATTACAATAATAACTTTCCGTCAATTAATTAGGTATTGCTTATGCAAATGTGAAAACATGTTTGTGGAAATGATTAATTTGAAAGTTATTTCTTGGAATTTTCTTCTTATTACAATGGTGAAAAGGAGTTTTATTATGAGTCACCATTGCACTATTTTCAACATAAAAAAAATTAAACCATATTTATTTACCAAACTGGTCACACAATCTTTAAAAGTTACTCAATACCTGCATTGGGTGTTGTATTTTCTTATAATAATCAGAGCAAAACACTACTAGCGGGTTTTGGAAGGTTAAATAATAATAAATTTTATATAATTTCCTTTAAGAAGTTATTTAACAAACTGTAATGCCAATAGAGCTGGATGAAACTTTAAATTGGTGTTAAAAATATTCTTCTTTTTCTTCTTTATCGCTTTCATTTCAAGGTCGTGGATTCATCTCATCTTTGGTATGGCTCTTGATCAATCTTCATAGGTAATAGTTCTGAGTTCCATCGCTCGTCTGCTTCTTGATCAATCTCCATGATAGGAGTTCTGAGTTCCATCTGGTGGTACTCCCATCTTACAAAGGTCTTGTATTTATCCAAATATTCATCCCTATGACCAACCAGCATCAGATCTCTTTGGACTTTCTGTTGAATTGGTGAAAGCCATCAGAAATCTTATAATCTCTCCTCATTAACTTCAGTATCAACGAAAACACTTTCCCTGATATTCTGGAACAATTAATATTTCCAGTATTCAGAAAAGGTAACGAGAGCTTGCAAAAGCCTGTCCATACTAGTTTTGAACAATCTGTTTGGTTTCTTTATCAATTTCAACAACGGTCTTAGGTGCATGTATTCGTGAACTTTTCCTGGAGAGAGTTTTTCAATGGTGACTCCTCTTCGGCATTTGTTCTTCCACATCTTCAGGCACATTTCTTTCATTTGTGTCGTGAGACAATTCAACAGTGAAAGAGGCTTGGGTGATGTTTTTCATGAACACCTTGTATATTTGGGATAATAACTAAATGGAACGGTGAATAGTTTCTAAAATCAGTGACCTTGAAGTTATTTATATCATCTATACCTGATTTTTCTTCCGGATTTTTTCATCAAAACTTCCAAACTTGCAACTAACTTTGTTTTCAGCTTTCAGAACTCTTTCATTATTTGTGGTAATCTGGTAATATTTGCGATATCTTCGAAGATTTATTCATTAATAAGAGTAACTAATCTTTTTTTCAGGGTCTCCAAGCAATCCGTTGCCCTGCAGGTCTCTACTTCGATATCGACAAACTTGCGACTGGAAAGACTCCGTCAAAAATTGCAGTTTCACAATTATTCTCACCAATGGATTCTATTTTGAGCCAATTGTAAACCTGCTTTCAGTTTAAGGTCGTGGATTCATCTGTGGTCTGCCTCTTGGTCAACCTTCATGGGTAATAGTTCTGAGTTCTATCGGTCGTCTGCTTCTTGATCAATCTCCATGCTAGGAGTCCAGGGCTGGGAGTCTGTAACGAATAGAGATGTTTTCTCTATCTTGACGTCTCCTCTCTATTGATTTCCACAAGGGAGAAAAAGACAGCAAGTGCCATAGCGATAGGGATAATGATCTTTATCATTTACAGAGTTCCAGCCCTGGAGTTCCATCTGGTGGTATTCCTATCTTACAAGGTCCTGTATTTATCCAAATATTCATCCCTATGACCAGCATTATTCGCTCCATGGACTTCTGAATCTCGAATAGACATCCATTATGGGTGATTTGTTGAAAACTCTATTTCTTAGGATCCACGAGAGCTTGCAAAAGCTTGTCCATACTAGTTTTGAACAACTTGTCTTAGGTGCAATTTCAACATCTGTCTTAGGGGCATGTATTCGCTAACTTTTCCTGGAGAGAGATTTTCAATGGTGACTATTCTTCTTCAGAAGAATTTTATTTAGAAAATCGTTAGGTTGTGCTATATCCTCCAATGCTTTTAGTATAACGACTAATCCAAATAAAATTCTTCTGGACTACATTATTTCGCATGCTGATGGAGACCAACGTCCTTACCTTAAAGTTCAAATTATGGGATTTTCCTTGCTTGGATTATTAGACTCTGGTGCTAGTAGAACTCTTGTCGGATTACCTGGTAACGAAGTTCTTTTAAGCCTTTGGTTCAAGCTCATTAAACAACATAATCCGTGTACTGTAGCTAATGGCCAATTATGTGATACCATTGGTTATATTCAGGTTCCCATAACTTTAATGGACAAAACAAAGATTATTGATGTTTTAGTACTTCCTGAACTTTCCCACAAGCTTATATTGGGTATAGATTTTTGGAAATCAATGGAAATCATCCCTGATATAAGTCAAAGTGTTTGGCATTTTTCCGAAGCACAAGAACTGGCATAAGTTTGTAACGTTCAAGCTATCGAACACTTGAATCCCTCTGAGCGACAAGCTTCAGACGCCTTGGTCAAGGACAAGATTTCTCAAATAGATTTTGACTTGGGTTACTGTAAAGTCGCCGAACATGAGATCATTCTTGAGGTACTACCCCGTTTCCCCATATAAACAACAAATTATAGATGATGAAGTTGAGGAAATGTTGCGGCTTGGTGTCATTGAGCGATCTAATAGCCCTTGGTCAAGCCATGTGTGCTTAGTTAAGAAAAAGCATGAAAAGTTCAGATTCTGCATTGATTTTCGCAAACTCAATCTTCAAACGAAAAAAGATGCCTATCCAATTTTCTACATATCTTCAATTTTGGACAATTTACGTAGCACTCGATGCATCAGCTTGATTAATATTTAATCAGCTTTCTGGCAAATCCCTTTAGCCGAAAATTCTCGTGAGAACACAGCTTTCACTGTTCCTGGAAGAGGTTTATTTCAGTTTAGGAGGATGCCTTTTGGTTTATCTAACGCCCCTGCAACCTGGCAACGTCTAGTTGAAATTTTATAGAGAGAAAATGTTAACAAATTTAAAGGAATTGTAGGAAATAGTTAGGCAATTTTGGCTTGTTACAATTTGTTCTTCCACATGTTCAGGCACATTTCTTTCATATGTGTCGTGAGTCAATTCAAGACTGAAACACCTTGTATATTTGAGATATTAACCAAATGGAACGGTGGATAGTTTCTAAAATCAGTGACTTTGATGTTATTTATATCATCTATACCTACCTGATTTTTCTTCCAGATTTTTTCATCAAACTTTAAATTTCTTCTCCACACACTTTTGATTTGGTAAAAGTTGTCAAACAACTTTGTTCTTCCAAACTTGCCCCCAACTTTGATTTCAGCTTTTAGAACTCTATCATTACTTGTGGTAATCTAGTAATAACTGTAACTAATCTTTTTTCCAGGGTCTCCAAGCAATTCGTTGCCCTGCAGGTCTCTACTTCGATATCGACAAACAAACTTGCGACTGGAAAGACTCCGTCAAAAATTGCAAATTGAAAAACAAAGAGCGTAAAGTGAAACCTCTGCTCAACACCGACGAACCGTTGTGTCCTGACGGTTCCTTAGCTTGCGGCGACGGCAACTGTATCGAAAGAGGCCTTTTCTGTAACGGAGAAAAAGACTGCGCCGACGGATCAGACGAAAACACTTGCGGTAAGTCGATTTACCAAAAAAATTCCATTACGCAGAATGTCAGACGGGGCACATTCTTACGCTGAAAGTAGGCTGGTTTTAGGCGCCGCACCCGAACAACATTGCGTCAAGGACAACGAAAGTTATTTCTTAATTTTCGGTGTCCACTTTCGCCTTCGTCGATGACCTAGCAAGGTCTTCAACATCACAAACAACAAACCGTACTTGATTTTGGTTTATCCAGTTCTCTGGAATAATTCTATCCTTCTTGAAGCAATTGATTCCAAAGTCAAGGTCAATTTTAATCAAGAAGGAGTAGGTCAACTTAAATGTCAAGGAGAACATAAAAAAATGCCTACATATTAGGTAAATTTTTACTACTAGGTACTAAAAAGTTTGGTCAAGTTTTGATACATGAGGTTTGGCAATCAATAAAGAATCTTTTAATGGCCGAACCCATCGTCAGCAGGATATAAATATTCAAGAACCAACCCATCGGAAACCTACCCACGCCGCGAATATCTCGAAATAGCCCCCTATTGTGCGCTATTGCAAAAACAAGCTGATAATGAAGATGGCATTAGAAGGTATTTGGGTTGGTTGGGATGCAGAATGTCACAAGCACAAGGTGTAAATCGGCATCAGGACTTTCCCTTTCGCAATCGTATGATGCTGCTGCAACTATTTTGTCGTTTTATACTAGTTTCACCAAGGTCCAAAGGTTCAAGAAACACACATCGATGAAGCTACTGAAACTCTATTATTATTTGTTGATTTACTCTACAAAAGATTGTTAACCATCAACATCAAGTAACCTAAAACATTTTCCGATGTTGAGCTATACTGTGAAAGTTTGAACTTGTTCTAATCTAAAAGCAAACAACTTGGATTTACTAATGACATGACCACAGGCGATCAAATAAGTTTATGTAACTAGATCGCCTATCGACTGCAAATTATTGCCAAATTAAACTTCGATGTTTGGAAAAGTACCCGTAACGCAAACAAGGACACTTTTACTGAAATCAATTTAGATACCATTAAAAAGTGAGAGCGAAATCGAAGATTTTATTTTAAGTCCGTTTCATGTTGATGCGAGTAGCTACATATTATTGATATCAGGACCGAAGTGAGAAATATAATAATTACAATAATAGATTTAAATAAATTCATATAAGATCAATTAGGTACCTTAATGAGTGATATTATTTTTAAAAAAATGTGGAAGAAAATCCTTTTTGAAGATTGTTAAGTTGCCTGATTCGTCCCTGTACCGAAGATGTTGTCGATTTATATGCATACCATTCAGTAAAAGTGAAACACCTCCTAAAGGTTATGCGAGATGCAATATTAATGTATAGCGTCTGGTTTTTTCGGAACCGGATTGCTAAAAATAAACTTTATCAAGACTAAGAGAAAATATTTCGTTTTATTGAGAATAAATTATTTATTACAGACATCGACAATGATCCAAACCGCGCTCCGCCATGCGACCCTGCCGTCTGCAATCTTCCCGACTGTTTCTGTTCAGAAGACGGTACCACCATTCCCGGCGATCTTCCCGCCAAAGACGTACCCCAAATGATCACCATTACCTTCGACGATGCCATCAACAACAACAACATTGAATTGTACAAGGAGATTTTCAATGGAAAACGCAAGAATCCTAACGGGTGCGATCTCAAAGCCACTTTCTTCATTTCGCACAAGTACACCAACTATTCGGCCGTACAGGAAATGCACAGGAAAGGACACGAAATTGCTGCACATTCGATCACGTAAGTTGAATTTTCGATTGTTAATTATCTTTGTTTTAATTCATCATCATCATCAGCTTATTTTGTTTCTTGTTTTTTTAAATTTTTTATTTTTCATTATTATTAACATCAATCTTTCAGATATTCAAGCATCTTGTTTGATAAATTTTCTTATAGTTTTCCTTTCTTATTAAAATTATTATCTAGGCTAGTATCTATACATATAACTACCTTAAGCATACACAAGTTGCGGCCAAGATTTATTTTTTTCTTGTTTTTAGGATTACTATAATCACCATTAATTTCTTACGAAAACTTTTCCCTTATTTTTTTAAATTTAATTCCTTCTTGTTTCCTCAGCTCTTTCGGTTTTGTTTTAACTTCGCGTTATCACTTTTGATGATTCCTGAAAAATACTTTGAGCCATCACAGCAACTTGAAGCTTTCATAATTTAATAATTAGATGTTTTTCATGATACAAAACAAGTTGGAAGTTGATATGAAACTCACAACCAATGTTACGGATTTTATTACACATTGATACCTGAGAAAATCATAAAATTCCTGTCGATCCACCTTTTAAGATTCCTGAAAATACTTTGACCCATCACAGCAAATTGAAACTTCCAGGATTTATTAACTAGAGTTTTGTCATGATACAAAACAAATTGGAAGTTGATTTAAAACTCACAACCAAAGTTACGAATTTTACTACTCATTGATACCTGAGAAAAACATCAAATTGCTGTAAAATCACGTTTGAAGATTCCTGAAAAATACTTTGACCCATCATAGAAACTTGAAACTTTCCAGATTTATTAATTACAATTTTTTCATGATACAAAACAAGTTGGAAGTTGATATGAAACTCACAACGAATGTTACGAATTTTATTACACATTGATACCTGAGAAAATCATAAAATTCCTGTAAAATCACATTTGAAGGTTCCTAAAAAATACTTTGAGCCATCACAGCAACTTGAAACTTTCAGGATTTATTAATTAGCGTTTTTTCATGATACAAAACAAGTTGGAAGTTGATATGAAACTCACAACCAATGTTACGGATTTTATTACACATTGATACCTGAGAAAATCATAAAATTCCTATAAAATCACCTTTGAAGATTCCTGAAAAATACTTTGACTAATCACAGCTACTGAAACTTCCAGGATTGATTAATTAGAGTGTTTTCATGATATGAAACAAGTTGGAAGTTGATATGAAATTCACAATCAAAGTAAAGTTAGAGATTTTTTCACTTATTGATACCTGAGAAAATCATAAAATATCTGTAAAATCACCTTTGAAGATTCCTGAAAATACTTTGAGCGATCACAGCAAATTGAAACTTTCAGGATTTATTAACTAGAGTTTCTTCATGATACAAAATAAATTGAAAGTTGATTTGAAACTCACAACCAAAGTTACAGATTTTACTACTCATTGATACCTGAGAAAAATATCAAATTGCTGTAAAATCACCTTTGAAGATTCCTGAAAAATACTTTGACCCATCATAGCAACTTGAAACTTTCAAGATTTATTAATTACAGTTTTCTCATGATACAAAACAAGTTGGAAGTTGATATGAAACTCACAACTAATGTTACGGATTTTTTTACACATTGATACCTGAGAAAATCATAAAATTCTTGTGAAATCACTCCTGAAAAATACTTTCAGCCATCACAGCAACTTGAAACTTCCAGGATTTATCAATTACAGTTTTTTTATGATACAAAACAAGTTGGAAGTTGATATGAAACTCACAATCAAAGTTACGGATTTTATTACTCATTAATACCTGAGAAAATCATAAAATTCCTATAAAATCACCTTTGAAGATTCCTGAAAAATACTTTGACTAATCACAGCTACTGAAACTTCCAGGATTGATTAATTAGAGTGTTTTCATGATATGAAACAAGTTGGAAGTTGATATGAAATTCACAGTCAAAGTAAAGTTAGAGATTTTTTCACTCATTGATACCTGAGAAAATCATAAAATATCTGTAAAATCACCTTTGAAGATTCCTGAAAATACTTTGAGCGATCACAGCAAATTGAAACTTTCAGAATTTATTAACTAGAGTTTCTTCATGATACAAAATAAATTGGAAGTTGATTTGAAACTCACAACCAAAATTACAGATTTTACTACTCATTGATACCTGAGAAAAACATCAAATTGCTGTAAAATCACTTTTGAAGATTCCTGAAAGATACTTTGAACCATCACAGTAACTTGAAACTTTCAGAATTTAATAATTAGATGTTTTTCGTGATACAAAATAAGTTGGAAGCGGATATAAAAGTCTCAACCAAAGTTACGGATTTTTTTACTCATTGGTACCTGAAAAAATCATAAAATTCTTGTAAAATCACTCCTGAAAAATACTTTTAGCCATCACAACAACCTGAAACTTTCAGGATTTATCAATTAGAGTTTTTTCATGATACAAAACAAGTTGGAAGTTGATATGAAACTCACAACCAATGTTACGGATTTTATCACACACTGATACCTGAGAAAATCATAAAATTTCTGCAAAACCACATTTGAAGATTCCTGAAAAATACTTTGACCCATCATAGCAACTTGAAACTTTCAAGATTTATTTATTACAGTTTTTTCATGATACAAAACAAGTTGGAAGTTGATATGAAACTCACAACCGATGTTACGGATTTTATCACACATTAATACCTGAGAAAATCATAAAATTTTTGCAAAATCACATTTGAAGATTCCTGGAAAATACTTTGAGCCATCACAGCAACTTGAAACTTTCAGGATTTAATAATTAGATATAATTATATACAAAACAAGTTGGAAGTGAATATAAAAGTCACAACCAAAGTTACGGATTTTTTTACTCATTGATACCTGAGAAAATCATAAAATTCCTATAAAATCACATTTGAAGATTCCTGGAAGATACTTTAAACCATCACAGTAACATGAAACTTTCAGGATTTAATAATTAGATGTTTTTCATGATACAAAACAAGTTGGAAGTGGATATAAAAGTCATGACCAAAGTTACGGATTTTTATTACTCTTTGGTACCTGAGAAAATCATAAAATTCTTGTAAAATCACTCCTGAAAAATACTTTCAGCCATCACAGCAACTTGAAACTTCCAGGATTTATTAACTACAGTTTTTTCATGATACAAAACAAGTTGGAAGTTGATATGAAATTTACAACCATAGTTATGGATTTTATTACTCATTAATACCTGAGAAAATCATAAAATTCCTGTAAAATTACCTTTTTCGGTTCCTGAAAAATACTTTAAATTATCACAGCAATTTAGAATTTTCAGGATCTATTAATTAGAGTTTTTTCATGATACAAAACAAATTAGAAAGCGATATGAAACTCACAACCAATGTTACGGATTTTATTACACTTTGATACCTACCTGAGAAAATCATAAAATTCATGTAAAATCACCTTTGAAGATTCCTGGGAGATACTTTGAATCATCGCAGCAACTTGAAACTTTCAGAATTCAATAATTAGAAGTTTTTCATGATACAAAACAAGTTGGAAGTTGATATAAACGTCACAACCAAAGTTACGGATTTTTTTACTCATTGGTACCTGAGAAAATCATAGAATTCTTGTAAAATCACTCCTGAAAAATACTTTTAGCCATCACAACAACCTGAAACTTTCAGGATTTATTAACTTGAGTTTTTTCATAATGCAAAACAAGTTGCAAGTTGATACGGAACTCACAACCAATGTTACGGATTTTTTTAATCATTGATACCTGAGAAAATGATAAAATTCTTGTAAAATCATCTTTGAAGATTCCTGGAAAATACTTTGAGCCATTATAGCAACTTGAAAATTTCAGGATTTATTAACTAGAGTTTTTTCATGATAAAAATAAGTTGGAAGTTGATATGAAACTCACAACCAATGTTACGGATTTTATTACACATTGATACCTGAGAAAATCATAAAATTCCTTTAAAATCACCTTTGTAGGTTCTTGAAAAATACTTTGAGCCATCACAGCAACTTGAAACTTCCAGAATTTATAAGTTAGGATTTTTTCATGATATAAAACAATTTGGAAGTTGATATGAAACTCACAACCAAAGTTACGGATTTTTTTACTCATTGATACCTGAAAAAATCATAAAATTCCTATAAAATCACCTTTGAAGATTCCTGGAAGATACTTTGAACCATCGCAGCAACTTGAAACTTTCAGGATTTAATAATTAGAAGTTTTTCATTATACAAAACAAGTTGGAAGTTGATATAAAAGTCACAACCAAAGTTACGGATTTTTTTTACTCATTGGTCCTGAGAAAATCATAAAATTCTTGTAAAATCACTACTGAAAAATACTTTCAGCCATCACAGCAACTTGAAACTTTCAGGATTTAATAACTAGAGTTTTTCCATATTATAAAACAAGTTGGAAGTTGATATGAAACTCACAACCAATGTTATAGATTTTTTAAATCATTAATACCTACCTAAGAAAATCATGAAATTCCTGTAAAATCACCTCTGAAGGTTCCTGAAAAATACTTCGAGTCATCACAGCAACTTGAAACTTTCAGGATTTATTAACTAGAGTTTTTTCATAATGCAAAACAAGTTGCAAGTTGATATGGAACTCACAACCAATGTTACAGATTTTTTTAATCATTAATACCTAAGAAAATCATAAAATTCCTGTAAAATCACCTTTGAAGATTCCTGAAAAATACTTTGACCCATCACAGCAACTTGAAACTTTCAGGATTTAATAACCAGAGTTTTTCCATGATGCAAAACAAGTTGCAAGTTAATGTGAAACTCACAACCAATGTTACGGATTTTATTACACATTGATACCTGAGAAAATCATAAAATTCCTTTGAAATCACCTTTGAAGGTTCCTAAAAAATACTCTGAGTCATCACAGCAACTGGAAACTTTCAGAATTTATTAATTAGAGTGTTTTCATTAAATAAAACAAGTTAGAAGTTGACATGATACTCAC